TTCAAGATGTTTTGGGCCATGCATTCAGTTCTCCAGCTCTAACTGAGGGCAGTCCCTGTCCTGCCAAAGCTAAGTACTGGAGATAACGCACAAGCATGAAAAAAAAGAAACCACGTAGATGGAAACTGCACTGTTATTGCTAGGAAACTCTTTAAACTGATCCTACAGGTCTTTCAGCATCATCATTGGTAGAGAAAGTATATGCCAATGGCAGGATGTGGTAGAAGGGACAAAGTAGCCACATCAGGTCTTGCCACAAGCTCAGGATGTTACGCTTTTACACCTTAAAACTACACCATGAAAAGCAAATCTGACACAAGCAAGCATAAACTCACACATGCTTATGTACACTTATAGAAAATACATCTCAATCACAAATATTTTCTACTATTTTTGACTGTTTGGAAGATCACTTCCATAACAACCTCTTTGATGTATTATGTCAAAGAAAAAGTCCCAGGTGACATTTTTGCACGTTTTAACAAGGCATCGGTCTTTGCTGAACTGACTCTGAGTCATGTGCTGGGAATACCACCATTGACTCTTGGGCAAAACCAAATCTAACAGTTTGGGAATTTGGGAACTCTCAGCAGCTGGCTTTCTCTACCTTGCAGGGAAAGCCAACAACATACAGTCTGGTACAGAGCGGAAAACTGTGGGCTGTTTTGTTAAAACTGGTGCCTGACACACAGCAAGTGTCAAGTGGAGTAACCACCCATGAGTTATTCTGCAATTATGCTTGGTGCCTATCAGCTGTATTACCCCTTCTTCTTTCAGGAAAACTCTTCGATCTCAGATCTCTAATAACAAGGAAAATCTCCTTGCTTGTTAGCAGGTTATACTATAAAAGGGAGCAAGAGACCTTGTCATCTCCTTATTCCCTGACTGAGCCATATGCAGCACAAACATCCCAAGAGAAAGCTCTGGGAAAAAGCCAGGCTTGTTGAATACATGCGAATTGCAGTGTTTTAAAGGTGATATTGTTCCTCCTCCTACTTGGCCCACGCTGTCTTGATGTGGGTCAGACTGTAAATTACACAATTTTGTTGCCACCGTGCTAACCTCTGTATTCCTCTGACTCCAAGGGAGAAAGTATCTTCTTCCTTTCTCACCTGGCTTCAAACAGAAGTCTCATGAATGCTGTGGATTTAGTGCGTAGTTTTATAATTGTGGTTTTATTTGAATTGCCACAAAAATGTTGGGTGAGATTAAACACAGGCTTCTCCTTTTGAAGAGATCTGTGCTTAATATGACTTTTACACAGTGTTTTCTCACTAACTTCTAATTTTTTTCTCCTTTGAGTCTAGTTGCAACTCCAGCTCCTACACTGCAGTTGTGAGAGCTTTTCCTTGATACTGTTCTAAGTGATATTTATGCATAAACTTTTGCTAATTGCTGGTTCCATTGGCATTCATGAACCTATGCAGGAATGAATGAAGCTTTCATTCATGTTTATATATTAGTTTCCAACATTTGTATGTTTGTAATCAGCCTAAAACCAGCTTTCATTTGCAGAGATGTAAACTGAGGGTAACTGAGTTAGGAGATATATTCTATTATGTACAGGGAAAGACTTTTCCTAGTATCATTTAGAGCTGAGTTTATCACAGAAACTTCCCAATTCCATAACTCAATGTAATTTGTTCATGACTGGTAACTGTGGTTATGGCTCCAGTAACAAGCAGTTTGGATCAATAGTAGTCAATCTCTAGAGCTTATTTTGTGCTGGGGACCTGACATAGGCACTTCTACAGGTCGCTGGGACTCTTGGTTCAGATAAGCTCTAAGTTTGCTCCCGTGCACTAATGCTCTGTTACTGCTGCAGCTCACCTCCCAGGGTAGTTCTGTCCAAAGAGAATCCAGGTCAGGACCTGTGGTGCCCTTCATGATGCGAATGCACGCTCGGCAAGCGGGCAACAGTTGAGCGTTGCCTGAAAAGTGCTCTCCTGATCTAACTAACAAACGCAGTAACACAGACACACCCTATGCGTAAATTTGAGACTTACACAATTAGAATATCTCTGTGGCAATCCCTAGTCATCAACAATTTTCCCAGCCATATAATTGCTACTATTAACAACACAAGTTCCCAATTTAACAAATGGAAGCAAGATAAATGCCCACATCATTCCGGCTTCTCCTAGCTTTATGATTCAGAGCATAGCAATCTGTTGCCCTTGGTCTTTTTGGAAATAGTGCCCATGTGATAATTTTAATGACAATGCAGCACTTCTTCTGGTCTGTTCTGGATATCTGAGAGCTTTGATTGCTTTATCAAGGCAGAGGTTCTCTTGGTCAAGTGAATTGGGTCTATCATGCCCCAAGGAGCTGTACCTTATTCTCCTCCACTCAGCTGCCCACCTCCTTCCTCACTCTTTACACTTAGCAATAGGTAATTCAGCACAGAGACCCAAAATGGACGATACCTAAACAGTCTGGAATCAGCAGGGAGAGGAACCAAGGAGGTTTCTGGTGTAGCATCATGGGAGAGGATGGGTGGTAGGAAGAGGTGATGGATACATTGCTTAGATTTTCTGTGTCCTTTAGCATTGCTGCCTTGTAGGGGAGCGGCCACAACTGCTTTTCTCTCCAGTACTCTACCATCTTTAGGCACTGGCTCTGGTTTGAGTACCTCCAGCATGGGAAACCAGGCTTCCTGCCCCCCTGTATTCAGAAATTTTATCATGTCTTTCCATGTCTTGCCATGCTGCTGCAAAGAAAAGCATCATCTGTATGCATAGCCTTTTTATTATTACCCTTTATCCTCCTCAGAAAGTGCTAACACATTATTGCTCATCATCCGCTTCATAGGAACCATTTATGTACGAGCTTTAAGTCTCACTTGTCCCTGAAGTAAATGTAAATTATGTCAAGTGAAACTGCTTACCCTTAAACAGCAGACAGAGCCCCAGACAGACAGTAGGCCAAGACATAAAAGGATGATATCACCTTAAAAACACCGTAATTACATGCATTCAACAAGCCTGGCCTTTTCCCAGAGCTGTCTCTGGGGACGTTTGTGCTATGTATGGCTCAGCCAGGCAATAAGGAGAGGACAAGGTCTCTTGCTCCCTTTTGCTGTCTAATCTGCTAACAAGCAAGGAGATTTTCCTTGTTGTTAGAGATCTGAGATCTGGATAGCAAACTGATGGCACTCACTCCTAGAGTTCGTTCATGGCAAAAAAAGGACAGCTATATTGGCCCTATCCTTGACGGTGCTGGCCACCCAGCAATACTGTTTTGAGTGGTTCTCCCTCAGGAGTCCAATATTCCAGATGAGAACAGCTTCTGTAAGTACTTTTGTAATATGGGCCATGAAAAATGCCCCAAAAAAGGGAGGGAGGGGTTGTCAAGACAACTGATAAGGTTTTTATGCAGTGACAAAACAGATGTTGAACTGTAGCTTTGAAAGGTAATCCATTTGCACAGCCCAGCCCTGCTCACAGCACCTGCACACACATCCCATTACAAAGCGACATCATGCTGATTGATCGATAAACAATAACACAGGACTGCTGCTCAAAGTTGCACTTTGTACAGGATAATGCCCTTGCAAATACAAATATCCCTCAATCAGTGAGAAATTCTGAAAAGGTGATACTCTTCCAGTTTGTTTTTAGGCCAAATCTATCAGAACCTGAAATTATTGAAGCCTCAGTCATTATAATTACATTAAGGAACAAATTCAGTCAACCTTAGATACAATTTCAGTTTCCTCAAGCTGCCAGCTGTATCTTGACAAAGTTCATAACAGAAGGTTAAAGCTTAGTTCATTCAGAAAAAACAAAACTAGGGTGCTAGAAAAGTCTGTGATCACACAGATGTGAGAAAATAAGGCAGAACCTGGTTTATTCAGCTTCACACAGGTCACATGATGTAATCAATTCCAAATGATTCTGGTCTCTGTACAGAAATTTCCAGCAAAAGATTTAAACGACGTAATAATTACCTTTTTCCCTTCATGATCCTTCTGACTATACCTTAATTTATGATGCTCTTAACTAGCATACATGTATCCTGAGGCTATAATGGGTGCACATTTATTTAAGTCAAAAGATAAATCTTAATGAAAGGGTTTTTTAACACAATAATTAACGTATTTTGATCATCATAACAGTAATTATTAGAGGCACAAAAACAGAATCAGATCTCAGCAGAAGCCATGAAGATCCTAAATAGGGTGGAGTACCAGCACTGCCCTATTATTTTGCCAAGAAATGATACATCAAAGTGGCAGCAGTGAGTCATCATACACTACTAGGAACTACACCCAGTGAATCCAAGAGATGGAAATACTAGATGCACTAACCTCCACCATAAATTGCAAATTATAATCACACAGCAGATAGTGCGCAATATGCCTTTTCTCATAGTTATCAAGCTATGCTCTCCTTATGCCTTCCCCAACATGATGGCTCATCAGAATAAAACAATGAAACGGGAAGAACCACAAAAACATAGGAATTTTGGCTTGATATGAAAGGTCCATCTATTTTTAAGAACACAGTTTTATTTTGTGAAGCATTATAAGCTCTTACTATGTGTCAAATAACACAATTGGGCAGCCCTGTTCTTTTAGAAACATCTTTTCTTTAAAAGTCACCTTTTTTTATGGGATTATACACACTATGAGAGGCAAGACCAGCAATGGAAAAGAGCACACCCATTCTCACCTGCTGTTATCCTCCCCTTAGCAGAAATGACTAGTATTCTGATTTTCTGCTCAGCTATTAAATCAATGTGCCCATACACATGCACAGGCACACTGTAACTTGCAGCCAGCCCTTTTGCAATGGCACACAGTAAAGAAGTAAAAAAAACCTTAAAACATTTTTAAAAAACATCCTACTCATTTTACCCTTGTGTCAGATTTACTTTAAGCATTAGTTTCCCCAAGCTAAAAAAGTTTGACAATACACAAGGGGACCTTATAGAAAAGAAGATGCCAGCAAAAAGACAGGAACAAAGAGTTCCTTAGAGAAAAGGATGTAGTATGGTACCTTTTCCAGTCAAAGTTTCTTCTTGTGTTTTCCTCACTGCTTCTTGGCCCTCACTCTCATTGTTTCCAGCTGTTACAATACAGAAAATGGAAAATTAGCAATGCAATCAACTTAAGGACAGTGAATATAAGCATGCCGCTATGAAGGGCTAAACACATTGTAAAAACAGTGTGAAGTTTTAGGTGAAAAGGAGCGATTCGTTACTGTCAGAGAGCAGAGGTATTCGAAGAGGGCTATACAAATGCACTGCTGTTCACATGAGTTATGCCTGTTTCTCTCATTTATTCATAAATGATGAGACTATCTGCTGGCTGGACCAGCTGAACTGAGATATGAATCTGTGAGTCAAGTGAATTATATCACATCCAGATTCTACAAAAGCTTCGCTATAGGTTTGAGCGGAAGACCCTTCACTCTTTTTTCCAAAATGAAGAATTTCACAGTTAGAGGAAAGGCCCCACTACCCTGGCCACAACACTCAGGAAAAGTTTTACCAGAGCTAACAGAATATGTGATTAAACATCAAATAAATGCCTTTTGTGCCATTCAGCTTAAGTGGACAGTTAATAATTGTCTGACATTTGTTTGACAACTGTTTTATAATAACGTATCAAAGGAAAAAAACACAAGCACAAACAAAATATTGTGCTTGGTAGTACAAGTTTTTTTTTTTTTTAAATTAAGTTTAACATTACATTTATCTATCCACAGACATTTTCCATAGCATGACACATCAAAATACCTATTTTCTATTATCTAAATTGGATATTTCTTATGAATTTCATGAAGTTGCCTTCTCCATTTCCTGATCATATAAATTTCTGCCTTGCTTTCTATACAGGCTTTATCTTGTGCCCCTCTGCATGTGTCCTGTCCTCTCCTTCACATGTTAGCTATGCAGAAGAAATTTCAGGTTTTCTACTTTCTTTCTCACCTTTTTTTTTTTTTTTTTAAGTAACAGTGACTCAGCTTTATCAAAGATAAGGAAAGAATCACAGCGTCACAGAATAAGTTGAGGTTGGAAGGAACCTCAGGAGGTCATCAGCTTCCACATCCTCCTCACATTAGTTGGTACGTGCTCATATTTACTTTAAGATGTTAGAACACGCTTTATAGTGCTATTAAACTGGATTAATTTGATCTCACAGAGAATGCCTTCAAAAAGTGGGAGTAAGCCCTTTGAGATAGATCATGCGTCATCCATTGGTTGCACTAGCTGAAGGCTCAAAGCACTGAACGGAGCTTTTTGGGACAACCTGATGACTTTGAGGAGGTAGGCTGATGCTTTCTTTTGAGGATGGAGTTTTTGCTGTGTTTCTGCAGTAAAAAAAATGATTTGCAACACATCTTTGTTTTCATGATATGCAAGAAGACTCAATGTTTACATAAATGCAGTCAAAATAAAGACATTTAGCATTCGAGATACTGGAGAGAAAATAATTCTCACATAAAACCTGGAGTCATACTGGTCTATAGCTGTTCTCTATAAATTCCATTAACTCTGGAATTACGTTACTCAGACTGACAAAGAAACAAAAGAAAGGAAAGGAAAGGAAAGGAAAGGAAAGGAAAGGAAAGGAAAGGAAAGGAAAGGAAAGGAAAGGAAAGGAAAGGAAAGGAAAGGAAAGGAAAGGAAAGGAAAGGAAAGGAAAGGAAAGGAAAGGAAAGGAAAGGAAAGGAAAGGAAAGGAAAGGAAAGGAAAGGAAAGGAAAGGAGAAAAGCAGATATTTGCAGTATTTTCTTTTTGCTGGGTTTTCTCCCCCCTTAAAACCATTCAGGGTTGTACAGAACAGAAACATTCATCTTGATGCTAATTTCCCAATATAGATGCAACATCAACAAACACCCTCCAGTGAAACTGCCATTTCTGGGGAAATCTCTGCACAGGGGTTATGGACAAGGGATCAGTCTTCCTCGCTGTTTCACCTCAAGTGATGTACTACAGTAAGATTTCAAACTCAGTGTGTTATTACACCAGATAGAGTTAGACTAGAAACGAAAATACTTTGGTGCCAATTCGGTGAAGGTCTTATTTGATTCCTCTCTCATTCAGCACTCCTCATGCAGAGAACAGTCTTATTAAAGCCTCCAGTGTCTTGATTTAACTCTCAGTACGTTCACTTAATTTGTTCTTTTAAAAGAGCTTGTGTTCACAACAAATTTTAATTTGCTTTATTTTGCTGTTATATAAATGGTTATTCATTAAAGCTCAGTGCCTTCCAAATGAGCTCATTTTATTCATATTTGCATATTTTTCACTCTAGACCACTGGGAAAAAACAATTATTTTGCTAAACAGTCACTTCAAATGTCTGTTTCCAGCCTGATTCAACAGAGAGTTTGAAAAACAGATTCTGGAGGCTGGAGTATCACAAAATTGAAATAGCCTCAGTGAAAGCTGCCACTGTAATAAAAGCTTTTGAAATAGTTCTTTTAAAGAAAATCCTGTAAGAAAGAATAAAGAGACCAAACAAATGACCAAAATCCTTACAAAAAGTTCAAAGACACATAGATCAGAAAGATACCATAAGACTCGGGGAGTAATCTACACTTCCGAGTTAGGTTAAGGAGATCAGCATCCCTTTGCTGAGGATGGGTGGGAGAGGAAAGGGACACTGCACTGTGTTACTGCTTCTCTGCTAGTACATCTTTCTGGGATCCTCTAAGCAAAGTGAGTTGTAGGCATGAAAAAGAACAAGCTCCTTTTAAGTGCTACATTAATTATTCAAAATTCAAAAAATACTTTTTAAGTCACCAAGTTAACACAATCAGCTTTAGGTTGGGAAAAATCAAAAATAATTTGTATCTTCTTGATGAATATGGGTCACCAAAGGGCACAACCTTCAAGTGCACTGAACAGGAGTATAGCACTTTAAACTAAGGAGGGTGAGGGTTTACTATATGAAGGTCAAATTCTTACCACCATCAGCTGGTTTAGATCCCCAGTAGCATGTTTTAGTGATTCTTTAAAAACTTTGTGATAGACAGGAGAATCCTCTGGCTGGACCTTTTGCCAATGATTCACCATAACTTTCATACGTTCGACGTGCCAGAATTTATCCATTTTAAGTGCAGTAGCATCTATAGCGTAAGATCTGCCTATTCTGGATTCAAGTGGTTTGGAGAGGAGGATGAGAAAGGGAAGGCACACCATGTTTTTTATGCTGTGAGAGAATCTGAACAAAAGCTCTGAGAAAAAGGGATTTAATGTCTTGAGAGCTTAGATCATCAAAGTACCCAAAACCGTAATAATCTTGCTTTTCATGCAAATTTAAAGTGTCTATTGGGAACTCAAAATAGATATAGTTGTCTCAAGAACTGTTTATGCAAGCTGTTCAGTGCCCTATCTGATGTTTTTCTTCTACTTAGTCCCCACAGAATAGTGAAAAATTCAGGTGAGACTGATTCAATAACAATGCTGACTACAATCAAATCTGAAAATAAAACTAATAACATAAAAATAAATTCAAGTCTGAATGGATGCACCTGTATAAAATATGATGTCATTTTAATGGCAAAATGAAAAATTCTAATTCTTAGTAAAATACTGAAGCTCATGTTGAATTGACTCTACTCTTCAACATTCATCTACACAAATGCCACAAGTCAAAGCATGTTGATCTAAAGCCACCACAGAAGTACATACAAGAGTTCTTACCAGCAGCAATTGACCTTGGTTCTCAACCTAAAGGTCAGGCTCTGTCATCGTAATCACTTTAAGAAGATCCTAATTCTAAAAGTTATTTCAGGGATTTCAATAGAATTATCACAGAGGATTGCTCAGCCTGTGTAAGGATGGTAAAAACACAGCCCGTAGAAATGCAGCACTATCGCTAGTTAAGGGGTCCTGATACATCTATACGTATTCTTTATACAATATTCTTAATTTCATTGAATCTAAAAATCTGTCCAAAAGAATCATTGCTACTCACACTCATAATTTATGTACAAAATTGATCCTGATAAAAAAGCAGTATCTTTTCCACTTGTTGTTTTGCAAAAATAGGAATTTGAAATCTTGACATTTCAAGGGAACGTACTGCAGGGCTTTATAAAGAAATTTAAAATAGTCTATGAACAACGATACAGACTGTACAGCTTAAGATTGCTTGGAGACAATAAACCCACAAATTTGAAAAGCCCTCACTTACCAAAATTAGCAGGGGGAGAATTTCCCAACTTTCAGCAAGAAAACACAAAAACCAAACACAAGTAAAAACTTTGTGAGATGAACATTGAGAAGAGGCAAACCACCCAGGATGTGGTGGTCCAGAGAAAGACCCAACCCCTCCAGCCTGGAGCCCCAGAGCCACCCTGCGCACGAAGGCACCCCTCAGCCTGCGGCAAGCCCCGGGAGGAGAGGCAGGGGTGAGCTGCCCGGAGGCAGGGCAGCCGTGCCAGCACATTGCCTCCAGCCCTCCTCACACACCCCGGCCCCTGGCAAGTGCGACCCTCTCATTCACCAGCGCCTGGGGAACCTATCCACCTGAGATAAATGCTCATCCCTTGACTTAGCTGTAATTATGAATCAGTTAATCCCTGAAATGATGAACAACTTTCCAAGGTTTGCAGCCTGCCCCATGGCTCTCCCCACTCCCCCCGATCACTTCAAGTAACCCAAGTTTAGAAGTGGTACCCACAAACTCTAATGCATATGTGTATTACCAGGAGAAGCTTGGTGATGTGGTAATAAATTCTGTATAAATGTATACCATCTGATTAAGGAGTTGCAGAGGGTGATGGTTAGGTGTCTTTGTGCAACAGAATATAAAAAAGATTCCAGCTGGAAATTTGAATTAAGGTCCCTCCTCAAAGTAGCATAATCCTCATTATGGTTGAAGGGGAACTGATTTCATTGGAGTGCTGGCCTGAAGACAGAGCTTGTGAGGACATCGAAAGCCTCAAGAGAAAAACAAAGTTCTATCAGCTGGTGTTATGAGGATTATGATTTTGTGAGCGTGCACAGCACTGCACAACAAATAGCATGTGCCTAAGACAGAGGAATGACTGTCCCTACAAATCTTGGAGGATAAGAAATTTGAACTCGGTGCAAAGTAAGTGTTTTTTAAAGAAATCA